AATATGTTAATGTACTCAGTGAGTTGATGAAGTATGTTGTTTACTTAGCCTATCCATTGGAGTGTGTGGAGAAAATCCAAATATCAGATATGACTGTGATGATCATATTTATTAAGAATTCAACTTTGAGCTGGGCAGGGTGGTGCACTCCTGTAATCTCAGCTGCTCAGAAGGCTGAGGCAGGATGATTGCAAGTTCAAAACCAGCCTTAGTGACTTAGGGAGGCCCTAAGCAACTTAGTGAGATCCTGTCTTTAAACAAATAGGCCTGGGATGTGACTCAGTGCAGTGAGTTTAATCTAGGTTCAATCTCTGGTACCAAAAAAAAAAGAAAAAAGTTCAACTTTGAGAAGCACCTCTCGCCCGTGCAGACATGAAATCCAGCTGAGGCAAGTGGTTCTCCTGGAGAAGGGAAATGGGCAAAATCAATGTCAAATAACTGGGAAAAGCATTTGGAAGGAGACCAATTAGCTTTAAGGCTTTAGGTATTCTGCACCTTGACCTTTTGGCGTGGCAACCACCACCAACCTCAACTAGGGCAGAGCTTCTAGCCTCCAAGTCTTTGCACGACGTCACTTAGGCTGTTGCAGTTGGCTCTGTCCTCTCCATCTGGCTGCCCCTGGCTGCTCTACCCACCGGGCCGGATAGGTGGCCCCAGGGGGTTCCTTAAAGTCCTTTTTATAGGGCGTGCTTCCTAACACAGGACAAGGCCAGGAGGGGCTCTGGTCAAATGCCGGGAATTCAGGTCTTCCTTGCCTACAGCGTCTGAAGCAGGGGTCCCCTTCCCTTATTTCCACCTAAGTCTTCTAATTATGCCCCTCTCAACACTTATCATATTTTGTCAACTAGCTGTTTCCTTGAGTCTTGGAGCCCGCCGCGATTTTGGTGGCCGCTGTACTCCCCAGGCTTGGCACGTAGTGGGTAGGGTCCATACAAGTTTGTGAAATGAATGAGGAGAAACACCTGTGGAGACACCAGCACAGAGCACACAGCGAAGAGAGGGCACAGACTTTGTGCGCACTGGAGTGGGAGGACCCGGGACTGCAGGCGGAGGCGGGGAGCGGGGACGTATCCTGGGCGGGGCTTAGATAGCCGGGGCGGAGCCTTGGGGCGGGACTGGCGCTTTGGGGCGGGGCTTCGGAGCTGCGGTACAGCCCGCCTGACCGCTCAACTCAGGCTGCGCTTGCTGAATTCCCCCGACTGCGGGGCTCTCTGGCTTCCGTGGCCTCCCGCCCGCGCCGCCTTTAGGGGGCGCCCGCGCTCGTGGCGCCGTAGCTCTGCTGGGAAGGCGCCGCCCGCGCTGGGCAGCTGGAGCCGCAACTCTGGGCGCCGGCTCAGTCGTCCCTTCTGCCGCCGCCGCCACCGCCTCCGGGCGCGGGCTCGCTCGTCCCCGCGCTCGCGCCCTCCGGCCGCCGGCATCTCCCGGCCGGGCCGCCGCCGCTGTCGCGCAGTGAGTGGGGCGGGCGCAGGGCTTACGGGGCCCGGGCACAGGAGGGCCGGGGATGAGGAGAAGCCGGCGCCCGGTGGCTAGGGGAGCGGAGCTGAGAGGATTGGGCAGGGACGCCTGGAGCCGGGAGGTGGCGGACCGCGCTGAGGGGACCGCGGGGGAGCTCGGGCCGCGCGTCCCGGGGCTGGCACGAGCCTGCGGCGAGGCTGCCCTCGGCCGGGCCTGGGCGGGGATTCCGGGGCCCGCCCGGCAGGGACGCGCGGCCCCGCGGGCCGAGGTTCGGGGCTCCGGTGCGCGCCCCTCGCCCGGGCGGGGAGCATCGCCCGCTCCGCGCCGGGGCCGCGTCGGGCTGCGGGCTTGGCTCCCGGGGCGACGGCGAATCGGGGGCCCAGACGGGACCCCCTCTGGGTTTGCTCCGAAACGCTGTGTTTTGGGGGGTGGCGCTTATTAGCTAGCGCTTGCCCTAGTTTAAAGCGTGAGGAAGGAGGAGGCTTCTGAGCCCTGCCTTTGGGATTTTCTGGTCTGAAGAGACACACCGATTGCAGCCGAGTTCGTGACTCAGATGCTCAGATTTGTGGAGGTCGTGGCATTTCTCGTGCTTGATGTCAGAGGGGATCCGTGACCGTGGTCGTGGGGAGCCCCTGCAGCACCTGCTGGGCTGACGGTGCCGTGGAGGCTGTGTCTGGGGGTGGGACCGGGAAATGAAACGTGACAGAGATCCTGTTTGGATATTCTGCTGAAGTTATCAGGTTTCTTGGGTTCGAGTATACCAGTTCTAGAACAAGTTGATAAATCCAGTTTTGAGACTTTGTGAGAGAAGAGATTTGGGTGGCAGATAGATTTGGGATCACCCCAAAGGCTAAGAATGTGTTTGGGGTAGCCCAAGTATCTTAATCTTTCCCATATCTTCCTGGCATGTTCATTTTCTTCGCTGCCACAAATGCCCTAGCACGAGAAGGATCCTGGAATAAGAAGCTGAGCTAGCACAGGCCCGAGCCCCAGATTGAGAGGTTTTCAAGTGAACAAACGTGTAGCTAGGAAAAGAATATTTTTATGAGCAGATTGTTGGTAAGTTGAGAGAACTTGCTCTTTAATTGAACACCATCAGTCAATATGGGGTACTTGATTTTTTTTTTTTTATTTGTAGTGTCAAGTATCAAGGATCGTGTGGTCAAGATAGTCATAGATGCCATTGCTAAATTTTGTGATTCAAATAGTTATAAATCATATTTTAACCAAAGCATTTACTACATAAAGGAGTCCCAGGTGAATCCTGTGAATCCCTCCTGTGTCTTGGATTTTGATATTTGAGGGCTATTTAAAATGAAATTCACATATTTATTTGCATTTGGCTTTACCTGGGAGATAATCCTGAGTCATGCTTTAGAGAAGTTCCTTCTCAGATCAGACATTCAGATATCTGTGCTTTGTAAACACTGGACTCTGCCCTTTACCTGTAGCGGACCTGTCTGGAACTCTGGGGAAATGTGGTCTTAAGGACATTGGAAGCACATTGAGGCCATCACCACTTTTTTGCCCTCTCTGCATGCCTATGCTCTAAATTACTTGTGTTCACATTCTCAACATTCTCAAGTTTCTTTACCATAGAAATTTTGTTTACGCTACTGCCACAAGTATTTTCACATTGGTATAATACTTGTTTTATATTCATGATCTTGTTTATTTTCTCCATTTCCCCAAAGAAGAAGCTGGGCATATGGGTGGTTTACTCAGGGTCTCATAATAATGAAGCAGTTGGAATTCTGGTCCTTCCCCTCTGGTAGTCAGTTCTCTTTCCTTTGCACTGCCTGCATGTGACTTCAGAACCCTACTCCTGGACTATTGCACTATAGGCCAGTTTTTACTTTCTTTCTTTTTTTTTTAAATTTATTTTTTAGTTTTCGGCGGACACAACATCTTTGTTTGTATGTGATGCTGAGGATCGAACCCGGGCCGCGCTACTGCTTGAGCCACATCCCCAGCCCAGTTTTTACTTTCATGTAGGGTTTAAATGGTCTAATTACTTTTGGGAGAAGTGATATTATCTTATTTTATCTCATGGAAACTGAGGATAAGAGGAATTTTATGATTTTGTGACTCTTTGACAGTTCTTTAGCAATCAGTCGCTTTTTAACCTAGAGCTCTCTCTTCTAGACCACATGGTTGAGAGAGGAGAAAAAATAATTACTTAAGATCCAGGTTAGGTTATTATCCAGGGCTGGGGCGGTGGCTCAGTGGTAGAGTGCTTACCTAGCATTTGTGAGGCACTAGGTTCGATTCTCAGCACCACATATAAATAAATGAATAAAATAAAGGTCAACCAACAACTAATATATATATATGAAAAGATCCATTTCTGCATTGGTTGAGTTAGGGCTAATCTAACACCATAATCGCATTATCCTTGTATGTCTGGCTACTTGTGCTGGCTTGCATGTGGATGTTAACCCAAAAGACTCCTTTAGATGTCGCTGAACTAGTTACTATAAAAAGTATTTCACTTTCAAACTCCCACGTTTCAAGAACAGAAACTCAGTACAAAGGCAATTTTGAAGGTAAGTATAGATGGAGAGACTTTATTGAGTCCTGCCTTCGGAATGCCAGACACAAAGGTTTCAGTAGAAAAGCAATTTAAAGGGCTACCTGGAAACTCTGGGAAGGTAGTAGTTAGAGATTTTTCTTATTACTTGTTCAAATTTGGAGGTTTATATTGCAGTGTATAGAGTAATATATAGGAGTAGGACTTTTGGCCCTGCGGGATTCTTAGTCTGTAGCAGAAAAGATCAACCCAGAATTTTGGGTTAAATTTAGTTCATTATAACTCATAAGCCTATAAATGCAGTTTTATTGTGGTAAGGAAGGTGGCATTTAGGGGTTAGTTTTTTTTTTTTTTTAAAGTTGTATATGGACACAATATCTTTATTTTGTTTATTTAGTTTTTTTATGTGTGCTGGAAATTGAACCCAGTGCTTCACACATGCTGGGCAAGCCCTCTACCCCTGAGCCACAACCCCAGCCCGTGTTAGGTTATTTTTTAAGCTAATAACTTATTATTGGATTGTGTGTTCTCCAGATTTTCTACCTTGAAAAATCTGTAATTTCTTTTTAAAAAATATTTTAGTTGTAGAAGGACATAATACCTTTATTTTTATTTATTTATCTTTATGTGGTGCTGAGGATTGAACCCAACGCCTCCTGAATGCTAGGCAAGCACTCTACCACTGAGCTACAACCCCAGCCCTCTGATTTCTTTTAAACTTTTGAAAGTTCTTCAGTATGTTTTCCTTAACTGAACTACTGCAAACATTACACTGTCTAACCTTTTAAGAATAAACATAGGCAAATTTTTGGTGATGATTTATAGACTTTGGGACAAGAATTTATTTTCATCAAAGGTCAGATCTTTTCAGATGAACTGTTTTTTCCAGGTCAGGAAGTGTTGTGTTTTGAATTTTATAATTGTGCTTGGTTGCTTTCACTGTCTTTTAAAACAATCTTTAGTAAGGAAAATCACCATAAAGAGAAATTATTTGTTGTTGTTGTTGTTACCCTTAGAATATCCGTTCCTCACAAATTATCTGACATATAAGATTTTTCTTTACCTTCATCAAATGAAACAGGCCCATTTGATGCCCATTTCAAGGTCTTTCTTCTACTGCCTGTCTTGTGGTCACTTCTCATTAATCCTCCAGGGAAGACTGTGCAGAAGAGAGAAAAGATGAAAAGCAAATGAATCATTTTCTAATTGTTAGCAGCTCTGGAAAATGATTTGGTAGAAGAGATTGAAGCTATTCTGGAAATTCTTTTGGATTTTGTTTTATGTCATCCATCTGCATTGCCTCTGATATGTTCTGAATAATAGCCATTAATTCAGAATCCAACTATTGGGTAAGCAGTAATCTTCCTGGCCTTTTTTTTTTTTTTTTTTTTTTTTTGGTTTCTTGCTTTATCAGAGCATCTCTACTTAGGACATTTAGAAACAAGGAGTAGAGGTAAAATTTAATATTTTTTCCCCTTTGAACTCTTTAATGAGCAATTTGATTTTTTTTAGAATTTAGTTATTGTTATTGGAAGTGACTAACCATGCCTGTGCTTCAGTTTGTTTTGATGAATCTTATACACAAGTATAGGAAGACTTTTGGATGCTTTTTAAGAAACATGGGCTTATGTAGATTTCCATAATTGCTTTCCTAAATTATTAAGTTTGAAGTTTCTTTACATCTTTGTATAGATTCTGGGCTTTTGCTGTGGAACAGATTTATGGGTATCATCAAATTTTCTTTTATGACTGCTCAAGAAATTACCCTGTTTTGATTTAGAAGTAAAAAAGAAAAAAGAAGGAAAGAACTAGAAATAGACCTTGCCTAACAGTATAACATCAGTGTCTATTGGTATTCCATTTCTCATTTAACAATTAGGATATTGATGGATTGGATTCTTTATGTCACTTAAGTTCTTTATGTCACTTCATTTCTCATTTAACAATTAGGATACTTAACAATTAGGATTGGAGTTCTTTATGTCACTTATTCACACTAGTGAGTAGGTTTCTGCCTTTTTTTAAAAAAAAAATTTTTTTAGTTGTAAATGTGACTTTAATATTATTTATTTATATACGGTGCTGAGGATTGAACCTAGGGCCTCAGACATGCTAGGCAAGTGCTCTACCACTGAGCCACAACTCCAGCCCCAGGTTTCTGCCTTTTTAAAACTTAGATTCAGAGGAATTTTTACAGACCCTTTATGACTGGTTAGGCTGAGTTATGTACAATTGTAAATAAATCCCTAGTAGGTGGATAGGTTTAATAGGTAGTTATAGAGAGTCTAAAATTAATCTTTTTCAATTTCTTGGTTTTGGGGATTCTCTTTTTTCAATTTCTGTTCAAGGAGGGTATTTATGGAAACATCTAGACAAGGGGCCAGAAAACCCAATACTTATTCAGTTACTTCCCAGCTGTGGGCCTTGAACAAGCCACTTAATCTACTTGGTTTCTCTATTTTGCATCTCTAAAATGGGGGCAGTAATCTGTGCTTGGATTATTATATCAGCAGTGTTGGGGGGTGGGAAGATGTACAAATCATTGTCTATTTAAATTGCTTCTTCTTTCTGGAATCCCTTCTCAGGTTGTGCAAATTTTCTTTGTTCCACTGAGTGAGCTCTTTCTTTATTTTCTGATTTGGAATCTTGGACTTTCCTCCTGCAGGCTCTGCCAGTCCATCTCTGTAGCACTTTGGAATTCTGTACTTCAGTTGCGTGTTGCCTTCTTTTGTAGATTGAAGGCTCCATGAGAGCAAGGGTTGCCCTTTTCCTGTTTCTGTATATCTATATTTGCACATATGCTCCCTCCCCCTAGTTGATTCAAAATAAATGTTGGTTGAATGATCAATTATTGAGGTATTAGGAAATAATACTTTGAGTGACAGGGAATGCCAAAGATGAGCAGAACTTACCAGAACTTCCGAAGGACTGGCCTTTTCAGTTGCACAGTTACTGATTTGTTATCAGTATCAGCATGAGATGCTGGCAAGACAAGTTGGTAAAGTTCACTTCTTGGTTCTGTTTACTTCAGACACCATTTATGAAGCAAGTCAGAGGAATACAGATTTGTCACAGCAGCCCTGAATTTGACATTTGTTCCATTTCTCACTCAGTAGCATGACTGTATCCAACTGCTGAGTGTAAAGAGTAAAAGCTGCACATCCTCTGGTCTACATTTTAGCTTGTTTGCTTTGAAGAATTTGCAAGGTGGAGAAATAGATGCTTCAGGCTCTGATTTCAGCCCATGCTGTGCTATGCAAATGTTCTCTACATGCCTGAGTGACCTTTTGAGAAAGAGCCTTTGTGATCTTTTGTAGCCAGAGCTTGTTCTGGGAATTGTGTGCCAGATTCCTCTAAAAGTGGGAAAAGTGGATCTGTTCAAAGACTGCATTAAAAAAAGCCGATGCTTTTCCTGGATGAATACGGAGAAGTCCGTGTTTCTTACCATCTCTTGCCAGCGCTTTTGAAATTTGCTCTACAGTTTGCTTTGCAGGTTGATTTGGGGAATGGAGTGTGTGAGAGGGAACTGACTAAGGCTGGGAAGTGTTTAAGTGCTCTTGAATTGTAGATAAAAATAAATTGAAACTGGCATCATTAGCATATGGGTGTTTATTAGTGTCCTAAGGCTGGCTCTCTAGGAGTGCTGGCTAACAACTCTGACCCCAATCAGAAAGGTTCTTTTTGTCCCAAGTAGTGCTCTACCAATTTGTCATTTAAATTGCTTTCTTTTTGTTTTGATTATTCATGAAGATAAATACCTCATTATTAAAAGTATAACTTGTTTATACAATAAATACTATTCTGATATATTTCTTTGGAAAGTGATACTTGTATCTTGGGAAATTTATTATGTTTAATGCGTTTACTGAGATGTTTAATTTATGCTGATGAATAGAATTTTCCTTTTTGTTTTCATACTGGGGATTGAACCCAGGGGCATTTTACCACTGAATTGAATCCCAGCTCTTTTTATTTTTTTATCCTGAGACCGGGGTCTGGCTAAATTGCTCAGAGTGACCTCAAACTTGGAATCTTCCTGCCTCAGCCTCTGGAGTTGCTAGAGCCACAGGCATGGCCACTGTGTCTGGCTTTCCTTTTTTACACTCTCTCTCTCTCTCTGATACTGGGGATTGAACCTAGGGGTGCTGTTGACCACTGAGCTACATCCCCAGCCCTTTTAAAGTATTTTTGATTTTTGAGGCAGGGTCTTGCTCAATTGCCCAGGCTGGCCTCTAACTTTTGATCCTTCTGCCTTTCTCTTAAATGACCTTTCTGAGAAAGACCATCATAGGTTTGTACCAAGATAAGGTTGAATAGTTAACCATAATATTCTTTTATAGACATTCTAAAAACTGACTTTTAGAGAAGAGAGAGAATTTGAATGGCTGATTTACTTCTATGCTTCTCCTTTTACTCCAAGTATAGGATAGTTCTCTGTTCTGGACAGGCTCTCAAGATGCCCATAGAGCGTCCTGCCTGGTCTTTGCCCTGTAGTAGGCTCTAGTTGAACAAAGACAAGTAGTTTTTCTGGTGTTTGGCCTGCTCTGTTAGGTGAGAGAACCTTTTTTTTCTCTGTTTTCATAACTGCTTATTCTATCGTATGTCCTTTTTTCTCTTTCCAAAGTTTTCCTGGAAGCTGGGCTCCTGAAAACGCAGCACTGGAACAGATGGATAATGGAGACTGGGGCTATATGGTGAGTAGTTCTTGCAACTGCACTTTGAAGGCTGGAAAATTATTTTTGTACCTTTTTTCCCCCTTATGTAGCCTTAGATATAACATATCTTACAAGAATGCAAATTAGGAACTTGTGCAACTCCTTCCCCCTTCAATTTGTTTAGATGTATTTTTTTGGAGGGGGGTGTTGTTTTGTTTGGTGTTTTAATGGAAGCAGACTTAGTATGGACTCTTAAAGCAACTTTTAATAATCATTTATTTGAGAGAGACATCCCTTTTTGATCTTTAAAGTATGTTACTCTTAAACTTTATGGAGTGGTGATACTAAAGGATCTAGTAGGTGATGGAGTGGAGGACATTTTCTTGTGGCTAGGGAGATGACAGTTGAGAATGTGCCTCTTCCCCTTTTTGTGTGTTCCTGTGTCTCCCTCTTTTTCTCCTCCTCTGGTAATATTTCACTTTCCTAGTATCTGAACATTACCTGCATCTTTACTTTTTCTTAAATATGACTTCTAAAAGAAAGATATGTGTTATTTAAAGGGTTTTGTTTCTCACATTAAAGGTCAGATTGCAATATTAATGTTACAAATGTGAATACACTATCAAGTAATGAAATTTTAAAATTACTACTACTCTTCCAGTATGTGTTGGTTTAGTGGCTAGGTTGTGTTGACCCAGGTGTGTGTGTGTGTGTGTGTGTGTGTGTGTATGTGTGTGTATTTAAATATTCATTTTATTTTTAGTTATAGGTGGACACAATATCTTTATTTTTTAAAATTTGGTGCTGAGGATCGAACCCAGTGCCTCACGCATGCTAGGCAAGTGCTTTACCTCTGAGCCACAACCCCAGCCCACCCAGCAGTATATTTCAACTTAGTGTTTGACACTCTTTATTTCCATAAAAAAGTTATCAAGATTAGGTATGCACAAAGTTTTATTTTTAAAGTTGATTTTATGATTTGTTCTTTTTTGAGTGGGGAAACCTCAAAGAAATATTAAAAGTAGATATCTTTACATTATCAGATAATTTTATCTATCTTATGTTAAATTGAGCTAAGAAAACTGAAGATCTTTAAAAAAAAAAAAAAACAAACCTGAAAAAAAAAACGAGTGTATTTTAGTTTTTCTTTTGATTTCCTGTGACCCAAACACTTAGATACTGGTCCTGAAACTGTATGGCTCTGAAGTCATGCCCTTGATTATTAAGTCTTTGAAGAACTGAATGTATCCTTCTTTCTTCCCCTCATCCCTGCCCTCCACCAGGGATTGAACTGAGGGGACCTTTACCACTGAGCTCCATTCCAAGCCTTTTTACATTTTATTTTGAGACAGAGTCTCATGAAATTACTGGTGCTAACCTTGAACTTGGGATCCTCGTCTCAGCCTCCCAAGTCTCTGGGATCACAGGCATATGCTACTATGCCCGGTTCCTTCTTTCTTTTCTATTGAAGCAAATGTTAGATCCCTTAATCTGTGTGGGCTTGTCATTGAAAGTAAAGCCATTTGCATTATAGGTTTGTCAAATATGTTATAGTTTAAAGGAATTTTAGTACTAGCTTTGCTTGTTACTTTTAATTTTCTTAATTTGTCAAAGTTAGGATTTACAAAATTTCAGGTGACTGATTATCTTTTAAAAAATTTCAGATGACTGACCCAGTCACGTTAAATGTAGGTGGACACTTGTATACGACATCTCTCACCACATTGACGCGTTATCCAGATTCCATGCTTGGAGCTATGTTTGGGGGGGACTTCCCCACAGCTCGAGACCCTCAAGGCAATTACTTCATTGATCGAGATGGACCTCTTTTCCGATATGTCCTCAACTTCTTAAGAACTTCAGAATTGACCTTACCCCTGGATTTTAAGGAATTTGATCTGCTTCGGAAAGAAGCAGATTTTTACCAGATCGAGCCCTTGATTCAATGTCTCAACGACCCAAAGCCTTTGTATCCTATGGATACTTTTGAAGAGGTTGTGGAGCTCTCTAGTACCCGGAAGCTTTCTAAGTACTCCAATCCAGTGGCTGTTATCATAACTCAATTAACCATCACCACCAAGGTCCATTCCTTACTAGAAGGCATCTCGAATTATTTTACCAAGTGGAATAAGCACATGATGGACACCAGAGACTGCCAGGTTTCCTTTACTTTTGGACCCTGTGATTATCACCAGGAAGTTTCTCTGCGGGTCCACCTCATGGAATACATTACAAAACAAGGTTTCACGATCCGCAACACTCGCGTGCATCACATGAGTGAGCGGGCCAATGAGAACACAGTGGAGCACAACTGGACTTTCTGTAGACTAGCCCGGAAGACGGATGACTGATCCCCAGTGCTGGAGAAGAAGTTCCTGGAAACTGACTCTCCAGGAAATGGAAGAGACTTTTTTTTTTTTTTAAATCACAATGTGGGCTTTTTTTTTTTTTTTTTTAATATTTGTATTTATTTGAAGGCATTGAGAACTGAGAAGGAAGTTTTATGCTTTCGCAGACTCTTCCATGTTTTGTTTCCTTTACCCTGAGTATGCATGTGCCTGTTCTGAGTCTCCAGATACCTTTTTTATAAAAAGAAGTCTGAAAATCATTATGGTATATAATCTATCCTTAACAGAGCTTTTTTTTTTTTTTTTATTACAGTGCTAAAATGATTTCTGATAAAATGGCCCCAAATAACTAGAAGGCTAAAAATACAGGAATGAAAAAAAAAGCAGAATACTCATGATGCCTTTGAAAAAAAATCAAATATCATGTAGGGTGACCTAGTTTCCAAACCAGTAAGCAGTATTATAATATTAAAGGAAAACTGTTCCAATCATTTAAAGGTACTTATTAAGTACTGCTTTTCACAGTTATGACAACTGTTACTTTCTATGCATATAAATCAAGCAACCAAATATCTGTAGCCATGGAAATATCTGACTAGAAATATTTATATTGGATTCTGAATACAAAATGTCCCTGTGGTAGAAATCTTACTTCTTATGCCTGGTGCAGTATAATTCCCAAGTGTTCTGTCTACCAGGAAAAACAAAAAAAACCTAATAAAAAATGAAATAAGAAAATTAGATCTGTATTTATTGGTTGTTGTTATTACTTAAAGGAGAAAAATCATATTCATTGTCTGAAGTATGCATTGTTTATGTCCTACTCTTTGAGAGGACTCAATGGAACCTTAGATTGTAGTTTATAAGAACTCTATTGTGTCATTGAAGCAGGGATGGATAGAATTTGTCTCAATGTCTAAAAGAGTGCATATTTGAATGGTGAACATGCTGTTTGACAAAGTTTCCATTGGCACTTATATTAAAGATTACAGATTTTTCTTCAGTTGTCATAGTGCTGAATATGACTCATTATTTCAGTTTTGTCCTAAGCACGGGGACAAGAATGACTAGCTATTTTATCCTCATATATTGTGGTTACCCACAATTGCATGTTATTATCAAAGCTAAGTTTATTTCTAAAAAGAAGAAATAAACTGTTGTAAATGAAGAAGAATCTGGAATAGTTGGGGAAATGTATGTAATTTTGTTTATTTCATTGTAGTCTCTCCGGCCCCCTCCCCTGCCCCCCACTGGAGATTGAATCCAGGCCTCATGCATCCTCAAAGCTACATTCCCATCCCTTTTTATCTTACTTTGAAACAGGGTCCTGCCAAGTTGCCCAAGGTGGCCTTGAATTGGGATCCTGTTGCCTCAGCCTCCCAGGTAGCTGGGATTACAGGGATGTATCATGCCACTGGCCTGGCCTGGTTCTGGTCTTATTTTGCATTTGATTCTATTTCTTGAAAGTTACTCACAGGAAGGATTGTGTTAATTATAGTGAGACTTCCTGGTTTGCTAGCACACCTTATAAAAAAGGAAGGCATGTAACTTCTGCCCTGTTTTCTAAGGGAAGAGTGGAATTCTTGAGACTCTGTGCCTTGGAGCAGGCAGGTCACTCTTTTTCTCCTCCTCTCTGTGAGAATATTCCAAGATTCTCCCTCTGAAAAGATAAGAACATTTACTTTGCTAACTTTTCCCCATGTCTTCCTGAAAATTTATTTTAAGATTTGATAAATTACCAGAAACCTGTAATCAACCCATTTTTACCATCTTCAGACTAAGATTCCTTAATGTTGTTGACAGGTTGCTCTGGTTTTGGTAAATTGATGTACTAGTTCAAGGCTACCACTTTAGAAGATTGGCTCTCACTTCAAATTGATTGATGGTTGCCAAAAAAAAAAAAAAAAAAATCCCCAACTGGTTAGTTGATTACTGTTGGTTATTTCATAACTTGGATTTCCAACTTTGTAATAGTGGTCGAATGTATTTCTCATAGGCAGGGCTCTCCTGTTTTTAGAAAGAGATCAATATGAAGTAAAATGATTGTAATTAAAAATAGTTGGGGAAATAGGAATATACTAGTTGCTCTAGTTGCCCAACTTTCTGGAGATATTTGCTTTGGTAAATTTTCTCAGGTTTACTAATTATTAATAACTAAATGATTGTTTATATGAGTAAATTGGGAAAAGCAGCTGCTGAAATTTTTATTCAATTTCATTTGTTAGTTGATAATTTGAGTGTTTTATCAGTTGGATAATTGGAAATGGTATGAAAAAATGTCCCTTGATTATGTTCGGTTAATTTTAAACAATTGTGTCTGTTTCTATGAAGTTTTTGATCATTCTCACTGCAGAAGAGGTTGGTTTTTTTTTTTTTTTTTGCTGTGCTGAGGATTGAACCCCAGGGCCTCTACAACTCATGGTAGGCAGGTGCTTTACCACTGAGCTACATTCTCAGCCCAGAAGAGTTGATTTTTAAAAGTTGATACTTCAGTGCATTCTTAGGGCTTTGTATTTTATTTAGGTTACACCAAGCATAGGCATTTCTGGAGGACAGTGTGTTGGAATGTTTGTGTCCTTTTAAACCTGAGGATAAATGCTAAGTGTAGCTCAGTAGTGGAGTACTTGCTTAACAAACATTCATGATGCCTTGGGTTTGATCCCCAGCCAAAAGAGAGAGAGAAAAAAAACTGATTTGGCTTTGCTATATCTGAAACAAAGATCTAGTACAAATGCTACAAGTGGATAATGGTCCCCCACCCCCCACCCCCGCTTTTTTTTCTTTTCTTTTTTTTTTATTGTGGGAAATTTCAAATATCCAATGAACGGTAGAGAGAGTAGTGTAGTGAACACCAAAATACCTACCCAGTGACCAAATTTAATAGCTCTTCACGCCCCCTTTTTATAGACTATTTTGAAGTAAATCACAGATTATATCTCATAGATACTACTTCAGACTATGTCTAAAAGATGACTCACACACATATGTATATCAATTTTAATTTTGCCAATATATGCTATAGAACCATTGTAGTGCTGCTTGCTCCTTGATTACTGTTGGTTATTTCATAGCTTGGATCTCCAACTTTGTAATAGTGGTCGGATGTATTTTTCATAGGCAGGGTTCTCCTGTTTTTAGAAAGAAATGCATTATTAAGCCAAAATATTTCTGCCAGGATTAATGATTTTTTTTTACTTTCAAATTTAATGTTTAGCTTCAGAAAAGTAACATTCCATAAGATTCTTAATTTCTGTAATTATTTTTTAAATTCATTTTGTGTGAGCATATGGAGAAACATTTTTCCAAAGGGCACCCTTCCTTTCTCATTGCAGCTTTTAAATTGTGAATGCAGGTGGCCAATTTAAAAAAAAAAAAAAAAGAAAGAAAGAAAAAGAAAAGCTAAACCAAACAAAACAGCTTATCTTTGCTTTTGGAATTTAATACAAATAAAAGGCCTGACTCTTTGAGGCTCTTTGAAATTGAACATGAACCACAAAACAAGAAAACCAGAAAGCAGAATCAAGTAAGCAGTATTCTGTGTCTGAATAGGTTTTCCCATTGTTCTCTAATGCAATGTCTAGATTCTTTCCTTTATAGAGTTCTAGCCTCATCTTTTATAATATTTACTTGGTTTTGCCTATTTATGCGAAAACTTTTAAGCTCCAGGGTCTGTGATTCTTTTTTTTTTTTAAAGAGAGAAAGAGAATTCTTTTTTTTTTTTTTTTTTTTAATATTTATTTTTTCAGTTCTCGGCGGACACAACATTCCTTGTTTGTATGTGGTGCTGAGGATCGAACCCGGGCCGCACGCATGCCAGGCAAGCGCGCTACCACTTGAGCCACATCCCCAGCCCCAAGGGTCTGTGATTCTTGTTCTCCACTGGTTTTTGTTTGTTTGTTTGTTTGTTTTTGGTGCTAGGGATTGAACTCAGGGGCACTTAACCACTGAATCCATCTCTAGCCCTTTTTATTTATTTTGAGACGGGGTCTTGCTAAATTGCTTAGGACCTCAATAAGTTGCTGAGGCTGGCTTTGAACTTGCAATCCTCCTGCCTGAGCCACTGGGATTATTGGCATGTGCTGGTGTACATACCTCCACTGTATTTTTAATACCTAGAAGTTTCTGGCACCATAGTATAAGCTCAATAGACACTTCCTGGATGCAGGAATGACTAAGTCAATAGATGTGTTTAACACCCCTAACTACTACTAGGGCAGATTTTTACAATATAACCATTGGGGGATAATAGGATTCATGATTTGAAATTGTCCCCAGTGGCTCCTTCACTCCTTGCCTCCATAGGGAATCTCTTAGATGTGAGTTCATGTAGAGAGGGGAAACTGTTTGTAGTTTTCTTTGGGGAAGCTGGATTGAAATAGCATCCAGGTTGGGCAGAAAATCAAAAAAGCAGAAATCATGGCTAGATTAAACCAAGAGAGAGCACACCATCTTGTCTAGGGAGAAAGCTCACCATAGCCTGCCCCAGACAGAAGAGACTCTTCTGTGATTTTAAGACATTCAATTCAGCACAGCACTTTACTTTCAGTAGAAAAGCCACTGAAATACACTCCCATTTGTACTTGTGTGTCTACATGGCATATTTCAACATAGCTGCTGTTTTAATTTATTTAAAATACTTGTAATGTGCCTTTTTTACTGTGCAAATGAGGGAAAATGTCTCTTTACTGCAGCTTCAAAATTATCTATATTAGGTCAGAAAAAATACACTTTAAAAGTTCTGGTGGTTTCTATAGGAACCAGAAATGTATTGTAAAATCATGTGGCAATATATTAGTGGTCAAGTGATTGTCATTTTGATTAACTGGAAACAAGGTCATTTGTAACCACACATTCCTAAATTGCTATGCATGAAAGAGTCATATTGCTGTTCCTGTCACCTTTTTAGCAAGGTAATGTATAGTAGGATATGAGAGTCTGCTGCATTTGTTTGCAGAGGGCTCCTTTATCTGTGTAGGTTATAAAGCCATGTTCATTTATCCCATAAATGTGGCGTGTCTACTCCATGACAGATTCTGGAGTTAGGTAGGGGAAGGCTCCACCCTTACTTGCCATCAGGCCGAAGAAAAGTGAATGGGATGAAGTGCATCCGTATTTTGCCATATCTGTTTAATGCCGTGGGTCAGTCATACCTCATTTAGAAAAGGCTGCTCTCATGTGGTATCCAGATTAAAGTCTTTAAAGGTGAAAAACAAGAACGCCCCCACCATTCTTCAGTGACCATGAGAAATCTGGAGAACTGGAATGTTTCCTGTTTTCAGTAAAACTGGACTGAGCTCTGCGTGTAAGCATTTCCTATCAGGTATACAGCAGGGCAGGTTCTTTGGAGCATCAAAGGGCATATGTATATCTTTGGACCATAAGAACTAGGCTGGGCTAGGCAGACTGCTTTATTTTTATGTCAGGATTTAAATGTTAGAAAGGAGAGATGACTATAAAAGAAACACTCTGGAAGTAGGCAAACTGTATTAAGTAAGCAGTAAATATATTTTCCTTCAGCAAATTGTTTGTATTTCCTTATAGATTTCAAAGAATGCCTTTCTGGGGATGGGGATTGACCGAACAGATTGGCCACCTGAGAGCTGTTCTGGGGGTAACTGGTTGTGTTATAACTTCAGAGGATCATGTTAAATTAAGCTATGAGGTATGACAGTACAAATTGTTAACAGCAAGTCTAACACTGTGCCAAGTGTGAATGAAAGCCTGGGAACTGCCAATTTGATGAGATGTTAAGACACCTTTTTTTCTGAAATTGGACTGAAGAGATAGAAAAGCAAGTGTTACCATGTGAACAACATATTTGCATTATACATCTCTCTCTCTTTTTTTTTTCTTGGTACTTGGGATTGAACCCAGGTGTGCTCTACCACTTAGCTACATCTCAGCCCTTAAATAATTTTTTTTTTTTTAAAAATTTTAAGACACAGTCTTACTAAGTTTGCCCAGGTTGGCCTTGAATTTGCAGTCCCCCTTCCTCAGCCTCAGAGTCTGGGGCTGATATAAGATCTGTGTACCTATAGACTTTTTGTTTTGACCATCTGTCAGGTTTGCTGTTAAACATTGGTTCCCCACATTCTTAACTACAGAGTTTATTTCCTTGTTCCAGTTAATGCATTCATTGACATTTGCAACTTATCCCAGTGAGGCTGGGCACAGTCTAGGACCCTCGCCTTAAATAGTTGGGATTTTATGAGTCCTCCCTCTCTTCTTGCTGTTAAACATGTAGAGTGTTCTGGTATTCTCTCCCAGGAGAGCTGGGGATCTTGTTGCCATAACCCTTGTAATTGTCATTTTTGTGGCTCTGCTGGCTACCATGGCTTTGAAGCAGCCTTCTATGCTCCTGAGATGCCAAGAAGAGGCATCTCTAGCAGGCAGTCAGGTCTGAGTGAGACACCCCCTCAAGCTTCCTGTCACCTCTGAATGCCTACTTTCATCTACAGAACACTGGGAGTTAAAAGACTGAATATAAGATGGTTAAGTCACCGCTGTGATTTATCTTCTTATTTTTGTTACTTAAAAGCCAGTTTACCACTGTGTATATATGCTCTTGGGTATGTCAAGGCATGATTTAGAGCTTCGGCTTCCCTCCTAATTCCCTTTACTAAGTTCTGAGCAGTGCATCTGCTGATTACAGTTCCTGCCAGGCCACACTCCTACTGCTGGTGTCTTTAATGTATTCTCTAAAAATATTTTAAACAGACATTCTGTATCAAGCGATTTTCAACTTAATGGAAATCAATGAAAATGGGAAAACAGGTGTATTTACTGCTTGTTCTCTGCTCTCTTACATAATTTATAATGTGTTCCACTCGTCTACCTGAGCATTGCTTGGTGACTCCCGAGCCCACTGGAACAGACGTCCATAGACATTTCCATCATAACAGCCAAGTGCTGAATTCAAACACTGGTCGGTGAAGTCAAATGCATCAGTTAACAAGATAGCATCCTTCCTGAGACAGGAAACAAGACTGTGAGTATTTTGGATGTGCTTACAAATCTAATTAATCTAGAGTGACAGATAGCAACACCTAATTAGAACTTGCATCAGTATTCACTTTTTGAACAATTCAGCTTTTTTTTTTTCATCAGTTATACATGCACAGTATAAAGAGTCAAAAGAGTTCTTTAAGGCTTGCTATTTAAAAAACAGCATATCCTGGTCTCTCTACTAGAGGCAGTTTCAAGAGGCTGATATTTTGGTGTTTTACTAAATACCTGGTTTGTATTGCTAGCAACTTTAAAATAATTTTTTTTATTTGTTCTTTTTAGTTATACATGACAGTAGAGTGTATTTTGATATATCACACATACATAGAGTATAACTTCCCATTCTTGTGGTTGGACATGATGTGGAGTTTCACTGGTCATGTGAACATAGGAAAGTTATGTCCGATTCATTCTACTGTCTTTCCTATTCCCATCCCCCCCCTCCCTGCTAGCAACTTCTTGATGGTTCAGGTGTGGATGTTATATGTTGACTTCCCATTACAGAAGATAAGGATTTACTTTGAGCATCTTTCTCTTCACCCCTTCCTCCCCTCCTCCCATACTCCCTTTCCTTGGCTTTCCTGCCTCCTAATAAAGTTGTAATTTTGGCCAGACCAAATTCAGTGTTGACATTCTGTTGACTGTATGGCATTCAAGCATTGGAGGTAGCTAGGTACTGTCCTTAATCTGTCTTGGATGATTCCTCATTGTTATGACCTCCCCACCCCCACCTATTTAATGTCTCTCATGCCCCTAGTGGTCTCATTTCCCTCCTTAGGCAGCTGAAATTCCATTGTTCATTATATTTACCCTCTCAAAAATAGATTCATCAGTTTTTCTTGCTTTGTCATATTAGTTTAGCAAAGCCCATCCCTTGTTATCTCCAGTTTTCCACCAACTTCCTGCCACCACTTTTGTAGTTACATATGGCTGCGAGAACCAGCCTAAGGGTTCAAGGGTTCAAGTGGGCCTGGTGGCTGTTTTGCAATCATATTACATTGTTCTAGTTCTTTCTCTTTTACTTCTTTGTTCTCATAATTGTCTTCCATCCTCAAATTTACGCTATTCACCTCCCCATCTTTCTTTCTTTTTTTTTTTTTTTTTTTTTTGGTACCAGGGATTGAACCCAGGGATGCTTAACCACTGAGCCTCATCCCCAGCCCTTTTTAAAATTTTGAGACAGGTCTCACTAAGTTGCTTAGGGCCTTGCTAAGTTGCTGAGGCTGGCTTTGAACTCACGATCCTTCTGCCTCCTAAACTGCTGGGATTACAGGTTTGCACCACTGTGCCTGCTCACTTCCCCATCTTTCTTACACGAATGACTTTGCATCTTATTTCACTGATATAGTGGAAGGAGTAAGAGACTTTCCACAGTTCCCACCCCTGCGTTTATACACAGTGCCCCCTGTCTTAGTGAAGGTACCTGTCCAGGATCCCAGCTCAGGCCAGTCAGTCCCTTCTGTGTACTAGCTGCCTTCTGCCCTTATCTACTGGAGAACGATATTCCAGAAATTCTCTTGCCTTACTCCTACAGTGTCAAAATTCCCCTTTCTGCTGGATCATTTCCATTAATATACAGCATGCTGTCATCTCTCTAATCTTAAAAAACAAGCTTTTGACTCAGTTTCCCTTTCTATCTTAACCCCATTTGTTGGCTCCCTATTATGACAGTACTTGCAAGTATTTTGTTGTCTCTGCTGGGTATATTATATCTCCAGTGTTCCTGTTCCTCCAGAGAGAACTGGATTCATTCATGTTCTCACCTCCACCACTCCACTGACAAGGTCACCTCTTAATATCTTTGTAGGGTCCTGAGACTCAGTATGTGGACCTCTCTCTTCATGTTGTCACTTCCTGTGGTATCATCTCTCTCATGGCTTTAAATATCAACCATATGCCAGTGACTTCCAAATTTATCCCTCTGTGTCACATCTGTATTTGGATTTCAAATAGGCTTTTCCAACATAACATGTCTAAAACCAAACTCCTAATCTTTTTCTGTCCATCTTGCTCAAACCTGGCTCTTCTGTAGTCCTCCCCATTTGATTCTTCTGTCTCACCCCACATCTATCTAATCTCTCAGCACATCCTGTTCTACTTTCAAAATATAAAACTTTGATCACTTCCCACCACTCCAGTGCTCCCACTCTGGTCCAGGCCAGGATCCTCTCTCCCTGCTGCTTTCTACTCCCCTCTCACCAGGTGGGGATTGAACCCAGGGCTTCACATATGCTAAGCAAGTGACCAGGTGCTCTCAGCCCTGCTTTTCTTTTTTTGTTTTGGTACCCAGGATAGAACCCAGGGGCTCTCAACCACTGAGCCACATCCCCAGCCCATTTTTTATATTTTATTTAGAGACAGGGTCTCACTGAGTTGCTTTAGCCCCTTCTTTTTATTCGAAATTCTTAGTATGGCAGCTGGAGTGATCCTTTAAAAATAGACATCGGATTATTTCCGATCGTGACTATCCTGTGCTCAAGCCCTCCTAGGCTCATACAGAGTAAAAGCATTGACCTCCAACATTTGTACCTGTCCATACCTGGAAAACCTTCCCCTGACCACTATACGGCAGCCATATGACATTCCTCAGGTCTTTCCTCAAATATCACCTTCCCACAGACCTCCCTCAGCTCCATCTTCCTATCCCCTTTCCCTGGTACCCTTTCCTTTCTGGCACTGATTAACACTTCACAGGGTGTATTGACAATGTGTGCACATGCGTGTGTGTGCGTGTCTCTCTCCTCTTTGTAGGCACTGTGCCCTTTTCAATCTGAAACTTGTATTTTTCTCATGAGGGATATTTACTTGAATTATTTTATTAATAAATTACCCCCCGCCCCAAAATAAAATAAATTGCCCCTTTCCATTTTTTTCTGTCTTCCTCTTTCTTTGTTTCCCCCTAGACCTGCTTTTTAGAAGATGAATAGCTAGGATAGGTCCTCTTATTTTTTAAAGATCTTTTCTCTCGTTTTTTGTCCTTTTCTGCTTTCTTTCTGTGAGGTCTCTGCAACTGTATCTTCCAGTCCTTAAATTGAGTTTTTCATTTCTACTACCTTTTTGTTAAATTTCAAAGAGCTCTTTTTTTTCTTTCTTCTCTGAATATTACATTTTAAATAATTACATTCTGGTTCTTATTTCATAGTTGGGGTATCTCTTATTAATTCTTTGAGGATATTACTATGTTTTTTTCTTTTTAAAGCTTTCTACTCACTATATATTCTCTTTGTGTCCTCTGAGTTGCCTTGTTCTTGCTCCTTCTTTTATGTTAGCAGCATTCAGTGCATCTGGTGATCCCAGAGTGTCTGGTCATAGCTAAGAATGGGGCATGAACTAGCTCAGTACAAGTGTGTATGTTGATTGTTAGCGGGGCTCACTGTGGACTGTGCCCCTGCTCCCTTGGATGGTCAAATTCTTCAGAGAAGGATTATCTTGCTATTCTCCTACAGGGTACCCGCCTGGCTGTCACTCTCCTAGTACCAAGAGGTTAATGAGCACTGGAGGAGGAAGTGTTAATATTTGGCTTGTGAAATCCCTGCTTTCTGTAGGGTAGCCTCATCCTCCACTATGCCTAATGTTCCCCATTCCCCTTGGCCCTATCAGAGTAGGGCCAGGAAAGTCACAGGGGAGGAGGGGAACCGAGGTTTCAGATCTCTCTGAGCTGAACTTCCACCATCCTGTCAGTCCCATCTCACTCTCATCCCCATTGCCTGAGGTACACAGTGCTTCTCCTTGGGGTTCTCTGCTGTGACTTGTCTAAGTCATTGTATGCCCATTTATCCAACTTTCATTTTCCTCTCCTGTTCTTTTTGTAGGCTCATGCCTTTAAAAATTTTCTAATTCTCTTGCTGTTGTTTAAAGAGTGCTTCCTAGCATGTGCAATGCCATGGGCTCAATTGCTAGTGCCAGATAAAAACAAAACAAAATGCTGTCAAAAATATATCTGAAACAATTATGCCTGGGGTATTAAACTTTCCCTAGTCTAGGGAATCCAGTGGCAGACACCATTAAGAGCATAATTAAGTACAGCACAATTCAAGCCCAAATGTGTCTTTAGGAAGGAACAAAATTAAGTGCATTTGTGCAGTCTGCCTTACCTGAGATTTACCTCAGTCTGCCATCTTTACCCCAGCTGAGATTTTACTAACACATTTTTAAACAACTAAAACCCCTTTGGGTCAATTCATTAATGTGACACAGAGAGCTGGTTTTAGTGTCACTTAGAATAGTGTGCTGCCTTTCATTTGTCATCTCAGAAGTCTGAGAGAGATAATGACTAATCAAGGCAGGGAACTGTGACAAAGAACCGTTAAGCATGGACTCTGTTACATACCTAATTACCCTGCAGTAGTAAGGTTACTTAGGAACCATAATGTAAGTAAATCATTTTGTGGGTTTGATGCTTGCGTGAGTTGGCAGCTTGCGTCAGTGCTGTCTTGTCTTGATTTGTAAGCCTCTGGAGCAAAGGCAAGCACTTAGAAATGCTGTTTGCAGATAAAAATGAAACCCCAAAAACTCCATACTTAAAGATGTTAAGGTGATCTTTGTATTTTATCATCACCACCAAGCAGGACCAGAATATTATTTTTATCATGTGCTTTTAAAATGCCAAGTGTTTCAGAAAGACACATTTGGGCTTGAATTGTGCTATACTTAATATGCTCTTTTTTTTTTTTAATTTGTTCTAATTAGTTACATATGTCAGTGGAATGCATTTTGACAAATTATACATTAATGGAGTATAACTTCTCATTCGTCTGATTGTACATAATAGAGAGTTGCACAGGTCATGTAATCATATTATGCATATAGGGTAATAATTTAACACGCTCTTAATGGTTTCCACCAGTGGATTGCCTAGATTAGGGAAAGTTTAATACTTGGGCCATCATTGTGTCAGATATAGATATAGATATAGATAGATATTTTTTGGTACCAGGGATTGAACTCAGGAACCCTTAATCATTGAGCCACATCCCCAGCCCTTTTTTGTATTTTATTTAGAGACAGCATCTCACTGAGTTGCTTAGGGCCTTGCTAAGTTGCTGAGGCTGGCTTTGAACTTGTGATCCTCCAGTCTCAGCCTCCTGAGCCACTGGGATTACAAGTGTGTGCCACTGTGCCCAGCAGTCAGATAATATATATATATATATATATATATATATATAGAGAGAGAGAGAGAGAGAGAGAGAGACAATACCTTTATTTTGTTTATTTATTTTTACTTGGTGCTAGGGATTGAACCCAGCGCCTTGCACATATAAGGCAAGCGTTCCACCGCTGAGCCACAACTCCAACTAGGCAAGCACTCTACCGCGGAGCTACATCTCCAGCCCTGTGCATATTTTTTTTAAACCTTTATTTAATTTTTAAAAAATATTTATTTTTTAGTTGTAGTTGGACACAATGCCTTTATTTCACTTATTTATTTTTATGTGATGCTGAGGATCGAACCCAGGGTTCTGCACATGCCAGGCAAGCCTGTACTGCTGAGCCACAACCCCAGCCTATTTAATTTTTTTTAATAATTATTTTTTTAAAATCTTGTTAATATTTTTATTTATTTGTATTTATATGGTGCTGAGGATCGAACCCAGGGCCTTGCACATGCGAGGCGAGTGCTCTACCACTGAGCCATAACCCCAACCCCCTTTATTTAATTTTTTAAAAAAAATTTTTATGTGGTGCTGAGTTTTAAACTCAGTGCCTCACACATTTTATTTAATTAAAAAAAAATTTATGTGGTACTGAGTTTTAAACTCAGTGCCTCACACATGCTAGGCGAGCACTCTACACTGAGGTACAGCCCCAACCTCTGTGCATATTTTTTTAAAACCAAGTTCATAATCTTACCGTATGTGTGTGTGTGTGTGTATTTTATGTTTATTTATTTTATTTAGATTTATTCCTAACAGTATAAAATAACCTCACAGTATAAGATTCTTTCAAATTATTAAATATTTTTCATGGACCCCAATTTTGTTTTCAGTACTGAACCCAGGGTCACTACTACTGGGCTATATCCCCAGCCCTTTTTTGACAATTTGTGATGATTTAATTGAACAAACATTTACTAGCTACCATCTATCTAAGTGCCTATGTTTTGTAATAAATAGCACGTAAAATACTGTATATTGTTAGAAATAAAAAGAATTTGGTTTATTTTCTTTAACTCTGTCATGGAAATTTTATTTTACAACAATTTCAAGTTTATAAAATTTTTTAAAAGTGTTGCTGATAATGAGAACTATCAGAGGATGTAGGGGAAAGGCCACACCTCCCAATGTACAATAGGCGTCATATTTTCTGCCCCATGGGGTCTCAAAAGGGTGTATTCTCAAGTTATCCTATTTTTTAAAAAAAATATTATTGACAATGGTAAATAATTCATATTTTTAAAATTTGTTTTCTAGAACCCTGACCAGGTGGGCCTGTGGTTTTGATGTTTTTCAAGTAATTATTTAGGTTATGTGAAATGACTGGATGAAAGAAAGCATTTGATTAGTGTTTCATGACTCCAGATTGTACTGCATTAATTCCACATATCAAAACTATTTGTATTATTGTTCTATGAATCAATATATAAATTACTTGAGTTTTAAAAAAATTTTTCATCTTGGTACCAAGGCAGTAAAGTTTAGTCAACTTGGAAATTATTTGCTCATGCACATTCAACAAAGACAGGGGTATACCTAAAATAGTACTTCGACCTTCACCCACAGGTTAAGGGTGCATGCTCAGGCGTCAGAGAGGCCTGAGATTGTACCAACTCCTACTCTGGCTAATTATGTGACTTTGAGCAGGTTAACTCCCATAAGCCTGAATTTCCTCTCCAGTAAAATACAGAGATTAAGTCCATTTCAAAGGGCTCCAAGGATTAACTGAGATGATGTTTGTAAAAGCTTTTGGCACAGTGCCTGGGCACATAAGTACTCCTTAAGTGTTAGCTATGATTCAGACTATTAACACATATTCACATGTGGCATGCTTTATTTTATTCATATGTCTGTGACATTGTTCCTGTTTCCTTGACGATGTTGAAGAGGTCAATTGAGGTAGCTAACTTATTTTTAAGCATTTTTATTTCTAATTATTCCTCACTTGTTTCTTTCACTAAGCCTTAATACTTCATGTTGGCATAATAATGCTGGGATGCGAACCTCCCCAGGGCCCTTGCTGGTTTTGCCAGACATACCCCAGTTAGCAAGATCTTGGAGTTTGAGGTGACCTGTGAACTAATCTGTGAACTAGAGTAGAGGGCTTTTCTCCGAAGGCTAATATCACGGTTTGAGGGCTTGCCACTCACCTGATCAGGAGGAGTAGGTCCAGGTAAGCTTTTCTTGCCATGTCTACTTGGGCCCCAGACAGAAAGCCATCGTGGAGAAAGTCACCTGAGTTTGTCAAGATACCGTGTAAAGCAAAGAGATCACAGAGGCGTTGGAGCACTTGCTGAATTGCTGGTTCCTTGTCTAGTTTCTCCAGAGCGTCCGTGAAACTCTTCACAGTGATATAGTAGCAGTGTGCCTACAAAGACAAAGGTGTATCAGACACTGATAGATGGTTTCCAACTCCAGAAGTCACCCTGGAATCTTGGCAACACAGATGAACACACTGCCACAGCTGTATGCTTGCCAGAGGGCTGACAGCAGGCCCCCTCCCCTCCAGCTCGCTCAGGGTTTCCTTGAGCCTTTTTGGTACAGTGTGTATCTGTATACATGCACACGTGTGTGTCTGGCCCGTGGGCTCTGGAACTTGGCCTTTGGTATCCTCATTTTGCTTGGGGCAGCTTCAAGTAGAGTTGAAAGTAGAGAGTCAGGTGTGCTGGTGGCTGGCTCCGGGGACTTGGAGGGTAGCACGTGTGTGTACCATGTGGTGGGAAAGTGAGGGTACAAGATGTAAAGGCAATTTATCCTAGCCATCAACCTAATGAGAGCCCCCTCTGCCAGATGGACTCCTTCCCTGGACCCCCTTCTTCCCATAGCCCAGCAACTAAAGGATTAATGCTTGTCTCAGCAGGAACCTTTAGGACCCTTTATCTCCTGCCCTTTTGGTTATTAAATATTTTTAATATCCCCCCTTTACCCAAGACAAGTGCACATCAGTATTTTATCAGGTAGGATACGAGTTGCTTGAGGAAGAGTTTATAATACAAACAGTTTGAGGCTTTCAAATTTGTATGTGTGCAGGGCACCTGGATGTCTTTTCAGAATGCAGATTCTAGCTGGGTGTGGTGGCGCACACCTGTAATCCCAGCTGCTCAGAAGGCTGAGGCAGGATGATTACAAGTTCAAAGTCAGCCAGCCTCAGCAAGTTATCGAGACTCTAAGCAATTTAATGAGACCCTGTCTCAAAATAAAAAGTAAAAAGGGCTGGAGATGTGGCTCAGTGGTTAAATGCCCTTGGATTCAATCCCTGGTACAAAAAAGAAAAAAAGAATGCAGAGTGAGAGTAGATCTCTAACTGTCTTGTGATGTCCATGCTGCTGCTAGTAACTTGAAATAGCAAGGTTTAAAGTGTCTTGGGGTTCAAAAGAATTCTCCCTGCAGGACAAGGGATAGGGCAAGGCCATCTGAGGCAAGGGGAACTTTATGAGCAAAGGCTATACTTTCAGGAGGTAATTTCCTGAGACCGATGCACTGGAATTTAATGAGGCAATGATGGGCACTTTGTAAGTTTGGATTGACCCACACCTGGACCCACATCAGTGAAGAGCTGTGAATGACATGGCCGGGGTTTTATTCTGTAGGGGCCAAGGAGTCACCAGAGCTTTCAGTGGGGCAGCGAGTGGTCAGGTTTCTCATTTGGAAAGAACCTGACTTCCTCACACAGGTGCTTACAGCTCTGCTTAGGCAGCCAGCCATGCTCCTCACTGCCGTGCTGGGTATGCAGTGTTTGGAGGTGGACGATGATCAGATGGGTCCTGCCGCCCAGCAGCCTTCTGCGCTCAATCTGCATTGAGGGACAAAACTGGAGACACCTGTACTTTTGTCACTGAAGCCCCGCTTTCCCTTGTCTAGCCCATGGACCACACCCGAAGGTCTCCAGGCTCTGCTTGAGGAGTGAAGTGATGGTGAGCTGCCCCAGGGCCCAGTTCTGTCTTGGAAAGCAGGATGAAGACCAGAAAGAGAAGGTGGCCTTTAGGCCATAGGGATAAAGTATGTCCTTATCGCTGGGTATCTCTTAAATTTTTACACATGTCAGCTCAGTCTTCATAATAATCCTGTAAAGTAGGTGCTGGTAATAGCTCTGTGTTGCATGAAGAGACAGGCTCTGAGACTTAAGTTCCTTGCCCAAGGTCATATGGCTGGTAAGTGGTAGCAACAAGAGCCAAACCAGGGTTGTACTCCTAACTGCTACCTGTGCTGCCAAAGCCACCAGGGCCTGAGGCTGGGTTATACCGAGCACCAGCATTAGCTCCAGGATCCTGGGAACTGACATCTCTCCTGGGCAGAGCCTGACCTTAGAGGACCAAAGCCTATCAGAACACCTTTGTTGTACAGACTGGAAAGGGGAGGGAGTGCTTGAGGTCAGATGGCATGTCACACACACAGCTGGGAGACCAGAACTTAGCTCATGGTTTTTCCTTGTCTATCCACCTACCAGTTTTGTCCCCTGCCCCAAGTTGTAGTAAAGTCATTCTCTCTCTACCTGCACATTTCCAGTTTCCAGATGAGGCCTGGTTGGGCCCTTGAGGTTTCCGTAGAGTAGCGAACCCCACAAAGCACAGGAAGTATAGAACCCCTTCCCACTGTGACCTCGGAGACTCAGCTTGGCCACCATCCCCCCAGGAGGCCTTTGGACTCACTCCTCTCTCACAAGCTGACTGAGCTTCCCACCTTTGGTGCCCCCGAGCTTGAGGAGCCCTGAGAACACAGCTTGCCTGTGGTGTGTGGCACAGGAAGCCATCTTGACTCAGCTATTTTCTACTTCTCGGACCTCATGCCTATGAGATCTCTTTCTTCATCCTTAGAGGAGAGATTCTGCTGGTCTCCTGCACAGGCTCACATGTGCTAAATGAAGGAAACTGGCGAGCAGCGTCTGGCCCCTTCGAAGGCAGGGCTTAGGTTTGGAAAATGAATAATGGGGGATTGTGGTTCCTTTTTTGGTCATCTGTTGAAAGAGTGCCGCCTGGGCTCACTCCGTGTTGACAGGGCATTTAGCACGATAGGGAGTGCCCCTGTGGTGGGCTGTGGAGCTGAGAGCTGTGGCTACTGCCAGTGCCCACGAGTGTGGTGCAGGTGTTGGGTCACCAGGTGGTGCTCATGCACAGCCTGCCAGCCAGTCCTGCCCTCCCAGGGCCTCTGCAGACCTTCAGGCCTCTCCTGCTTGGCAACCATTTTGGGGGGTCCAAAGCCTGATGATTGGAGTGGCCGCTTCAGTTTTCAGTTGTTGGCATGACCAGCGTTCCAGTTGCCTAAGCTCAAGAGGCATTCTTACCTCTTTCCCACCCCATGACTCTTGAGGCCTGTTCCTTCCTCTACCCCTTTACTATCTCTGCATTTCCCCACTTCTCTCCGTGGCCTCTGCCAAGTTCATGGTGGGGGCTGGTCCAGGCTGCAGCAGCTTCCTTCTGATTAACTTCCAGCCTCCAGTCCATTCCTCCCTCTGCAGCTTGCATGATCCTTCTGGAAGGAAACTCTGCTCCCTTCATTTTTGCCTGATGCAGACTCAGCCATGGCTTCCCGTCACAATGGAGACAAGACGCAGGCTTCTCACACTGCAGAAGGTCTCTCCTGTCTCCTCTCCCTGTCTACCCTCCTCTCCTTGATTCTTCCACCTTTGGCTCCTCCTGAAAGGTCTGCATTTCCTCCCAAGCACCAGGACTTTTCCTGTCTCCTCTTCTTGTACCTGCTTCTCCCTTTGCTTGGAAACCTTCCTCTGCAAAGCTGCCATCTGCCCCCCCTCCAGCCTCCTCATCCCCCACCACCCCCAGCATGCTAATTTCAGCTTATCTTCGAAGCATCAGCCTGTGTGCCACCCTTTCTGGGAAGCCTCAAGGTGAGTAGAGATGCACCTGCCCCAGAATCCCACAGCAGCCTATATTCCCCTGCCCAGTGCTTCCTTGATAGGTGTGGGCAGCAGCTTCACCGTTTGAGCACCGAGCCCAGGGCTGCTGCAGAGTGGGTGCTCAAATATTTGCCGACTGACTGTGAATTATGCACAAACACAAACCATAGTGGAAATTGAATCAGACATCCAAGGATTGCCTGTGGGGCTAAGAGGAAGCTTGACCTGCTTTTCTATCTGGGAGGAAATATTTGAACAACCTGAAGCAAATCCAATAACACTGCCTCATTACCTTTCCCCCCAAGAGCTGCCAGCAAGATTGCTTTGGAGTTAAGTCCTTTAATTAAAATACCCTGGACTAAAGCCTTAGAAATGAAATGAGGGCAGCCGCTGAGGCGCAGGCTTGGGGAATAATGGCACAGCCTGGGTTTTCCCGGCAGGGTAGCCAGCTTGGAAAGACAAGCGGGTCCCTTGCAGCTTTGGCTGATAGGCAGCTCACCTTAGCAGCCTGGAGGTGCATGACAGAAGTCTGGTTCCAAGCCTCCTGCTGGTCAGCCCCAGATTGTGTGAGGGTCTGTAGATGATGCACCGAGTCCTCTATGAGCCTGAAAACCAGAAAAGGGTCAGCTTCTTGACTGACTGGGAAAGATAACCAGTAGCTATGGGGGGCCCTCAGAAGTACAAATTCTGTGTAGGACTTCTTGTGTGTCATAAAGCTAAATGCTTGATAAACATTCTCTCTCAAGGAATGCATTTCCTGTTTACAGTGGGGAAAACCTGAGTGTCAGAGAGGTTAACCAAATTGTCCAGGGTAACACAGCTAGTAAGGAAGGAGTGGAGCCAGAATTTATTTTTGTTCCTTTTGGAACCCAGAGGTGCCTAACCACTGAGCCACATCCCCAGCCCTTTTTAATATTTTATTAGAGACAGGGTCTAGCTAAGTTGCTGAGGCTGGCTTTGAACTTTTGATTTTCCTGCCTCAGCCTCCCAAGTCATTGGGATTACAGGCATGCGCCACCACTTTTGGTTTGGATTTTTTCTTAACCACCACATTTTAAAGCCTCAGGGATTTGGGCCAGGAGCATTCCCCTCTTTTTCATGCACCCCAATACCAATGTTTTTAGGCCATTCCATTGTTTGGCTTCCTATGATCCAAGGAAGAAAACAAAACAAAACTTGTTAAATGTTAGTGAGGCCTGTTGGTCACCCAGCCTGCTGCAAGGAACCTAAAAACAAAACCAGAAAACTAACTATTGTCCTCCAAGACACTAAGTTAGTCATTTGCCATTATATTAACCTTTAATCCCCTTTTATTGTTTGTTTCCTGCATGACCATCCATAACCCTTGAAACTTGTGTGTAAAGCAAACTGTTAAGCAATATTTATTTTGCTTTGTCAGGGAGTACATAAGCAGATGTCACTTTTGAGTTCCAAGCAAAGAGAAACACAATGGCATCTTAATTACCAGTCAGTTCCCCCAAGTGAAAATCAGTTCTTTGAGGCCTGAAGGTTTTATTAGTGTATCTATAGATCCCTACATCTTAAAACAGTGCCTGGCATATTGTAGGCACTTAATAAACATTTGTGGAATGAATGAATGAATGTCTCAAGTTCCTTGTGATCTCAAAATAATTATCAATCATTTCTGGGACCACAGGTTGGGATATAAGACCACTTTATACTAAAAAAAATATATTTTTTCCAGTTTGTTGTTTTTGGCATTTTAATGTTGGGCAGGGTGAGAAGCTTTTTCTTTATAGGTCATTAAATCTTTCCTTCTCTCTGTGATGGTGTCTGTGCTTGGCTAGGCCTTCTCTTTATTCCAAGCTTGTAGCATATTTAGTCATTCCTGACTGGTGGGTACCTGACAATATTGGTTGAGTGACAGAATGGATGACCCCTTGGTTTTGTCTATGTTCTCTGGAGTCTATCAGATGCTGGAATTAAAACGGAGTCCATCCTCTGCTGGAGTCATATTTTAGAAAATTATTTTTAGATTATGGACTATTTTCCAATTTAGAAGGGTTGCTGTATTTATTGTTATTGGTTTGCATATCAATATACATTGGTAGTATTTTCATATGGGTACATTTGTTGGATTGTGAGTTATTCCAGGAATCTAAGGATTTTTAAAATTTCTCTCATGGCAATAGGAGCTGCGGGGGCGCGCCCCCCCCGCCCCCGTGTGGGGTGCTGACTTCTCAGCGCTTCTCACCTGGCGGCCGCGTGTGCCCAGGCTGCAGTGTATAACTCTGGGCAGAGGAAGTCGGCTGCCTTCTGGGCTGGGCAACGGGCCAGGACAGGCCTGGCAAGATATTCAACAGACTGAGGTAGAGGCTTCTGTGGTGCAGAGTCTGGGGACACCTTGGCTTGCGGGTAGCTCTTTACCAGAAACCTGGAGGGTGGAAGGGGAGGGGACAGGGGAGACAATGGGGCTCTGTGGGGCACCCGCCACCTCAGCTCCCAGAGACACACATCACACATTCTTAGCCTGGGCTCCAGCCTTCCTGTGGAAGGACCTGGGCCCAGACCTCCACCCAGCTGCCCTCTGAAGGGTTACTCCTCACCCCAGAGTCCTCTCCTGCCATCCTGCTGGGAGGCCCTCCGTGGGGCACACTCCAGGCTTTAACAACTAAATGGCGCTGCAGGACTGGGGCAGACCTCTTCAGGTCCAGAACATAAACTCTTCTGAGATTCTATGCAAATTGAATCTTTTTGTGGGAATCTTGTGATTTTAGGATTTATGATGACTTGTACAGTGACTGTGGGAATTAAATTTTCTAAGTTGAAAGAAGGAGGATAGGTACTGACGTGAATGGGAAGATTATAGGTGACTCTGAGCTGCTGCGTTCGTCAATCCAGTGGTTACAGGTTCTGGCCTCAGGCAGCCCTGGACTCTCAGCCGAGGCCTTCGTGATGCTCTAGGATTGATTCACCTCCCTAAGCTTTCCATCTCTAGATGGGGATGATCATACTCACCTGATTGGGAGGTGGTTTGTGAAACTGAAAGATAATATTTGTGAAGTGCTTGACACAGAGCTAGGCACAGAATGCCTAATGCACACTATTGTGTTCTTTTCATAATCTGAAAAAGTAAACCTGCAAATGTTATGTATTAAAAGTATAACATGTCACATTTGCCAGTGAACTCCTTTCTCCATGCGTACAAAATTATTTTCCCCCTTCAGTCATCTGAGAATAAGTGAGTGTGAGAGGCTTTGTCAGCCTCAAAGAGGGTTGAAAAGAAACCACTTGGAGCTGGGCATGGTGGTGCAGGCCTGTCATCCCAGCAGCTTTGGAGGCTGAGGCAGGAGGATCACAAGTTCAAAGCCAGCCTCAGCAAAAGCAAGGCACTAAGGAACTCAGTGAGACCCTGTCTCTAAATAAAACACAAAATAGGGCTGGGGATATGGTTCAATAGTCAGGTATCCCTGAGTTCAATCCCTGGTACCTTCCTCCCCCCAAAAGAAACCACTTGGAGGAGGCTGACTTGGCCATTCGCTCCTGCCTCTTAAGTTGGGGCCTCCTGTGTAAGATCTTCACTAAGCCTGGGATCCTGCATTGAGCAAAGCAGATATAGTCCCTGCCCTTGAGGAACTCCCAGTCGAGCTGAGGACCAGAACTAAAAAAGTAAACAACACAAAAATGTAGACAATTATAGATTGTGTTCCAAAAGACAGCCGTGTGCCACTGAGTGTTCCTGGCTGAGTGGACAATTTTAAGCAAGAGAAAGATATGATATTCTGTAGGCTTTGAAAAGATCCCTCTTGGATGCCTGTAGTGAAGTGGGACCTGGTGGAAGCAAGGGACCCTAGGTGAGAGACGGTGGCAGCCTGGCTAGGAACAGTGGATGTGCGGACGGGTGGATTTGAGACCTGTCATGGGATTTGGACAGCCTCCAAATGGTGCTTGCCAAAGCCTGTCCCTCCCTCTGTGGGCATCAAACAGAAACCTTGACCTGAGCAGAAGCCTGGACAGGGGCCTGGGCCAGTCTGGTCCTTACCTGGCCACTTGCAGGTAGAGCACTGTATTCTCACCCTCATAGGTGCAGGAGGCTGTCACTTGGGTGACCAATGATGGCAAACCACTCAGTTTTGAGTAGCCGTGTCCCCCGCAGGCCCTGCGACACAGCTCGGCCCCCTGGGTACACAATTCAGACATCATGGCCTTCATGCCTGTGCTCAGTGCGTGGAGCTATAAGAACAGGAAGAGGTGTCAGGTGGTGTAAGGGGATCCCACACCTCCCATTTACTGAACATTTCCGGCGAGCTGAACACATCCCTGTGAGGTAAGGAGTGTTTCCTTACCTCACAGCTTTATGAATGAGAAGGCTGAGCCCCAGGCTGGGACTCACCCTGGGTCACACAGGCACTGTAGCTATGGGGCAATCAGAACTAAGGAAAGGCTTCCCAAACAGCGTCTCCAGGATCTTTGGAGAGGGTGCTGCCTGGATTGGGCCCACCTCCCTTCAGGAGGTATACAGTTTGGAAAACTGACCTGTGAGGGTGAGTGGGGTGCAGTGGTCTGAATGTGTCTGCCCCAAATTCATATGTTGAAATCCTAACCTCCAAGGTGATGGTATTAGGAGGTGGGGCCTCTGGGCAACGATTAGGTCATGAGGGTAAAACGTTCATGAATAGGATTAATGGCTGCTGTGGTTTGCATTGCCCCTCCAAAACCCATGTCGAAATGTAGTTGTCATTTTAAAAGTACTAGGAGGTGGGACCTTTAAGAAGTGATTAGGTCATGAGTGCTCCACCCTTATGAATGGATTAATGCTGTTGTCATGGGTGTGGCTTGGTTATAAAAGAGAGCTCTGCCCCCAACACTTTCACAGGATCCTTTGCCATTGGTGCCCTCTGCCATGGCACAGCACAGTAAGAAGGCCCTCAATAGACAGATGGAGGCAACTTGGTGGAGGCTAGGAAGTCTCCAGAACTATGAGAAATAAATTCATAAGCTGCGTAGTTTATGGTGTTTTGTTACAGCAGCCAAATAGCCTGAGGGGTTGCCAGATAGCAAGCTTGGTTAGAGTTTTTGATTCTTGAAAGGCCCAAGCCATCTTTCAAACATTCAAGTCCTTCGGAGGAAAGTCATGTCCTACCTTTCTTTGTGTTTCCTCATCTGTAAAATGTGGATATAAATCGTGTCTACTACACAGTTGGAAAAATTAATGAAGCAATGCTTATAAAGCACAGCACCTGGGTAGCCTGAATCTTAAGAACATGTAAGTCCACAGTGATTTAGCTGAGACCTATGGGCCAGATGTGCTTTAGAATCAGAGTAATTTTTGGATTTTAGAAAGGCAAAGCAGGGTGTTTAAGGTAAATTACTTGTTTAAGGTGTATCCAGCCGGCTGTGGGAAAGCCTTCATAACTGAATACATTAATATTTTTGCTTATTCATGTTCAGTAGAATAAATCAAGTCTGTTCAGGTCAAATTGTGGTAACAAATGAGTTCCAGTTTTTTGTTTTCAGAGCTTTGTGGGATTCAAAAGCTCATCAGGGATTGTGACCTGTGTTCTTTCTACTGTGAGTGAGTATTTCATTTAACATTTTTGAGCTCTCTGGGGGCCAGGTGTGGGTGGATTTATGTGTCAGGGCACAGTGCACCCCAATACCCTGGGATGCTGGAAGGCTGTAGGAGTGGAGGAGGGCCTGTAGGAGCCGGGCTGAGACTGCTTCTCATTGGGTGGGATAGCCTTTGCCACCCTGCAGCAGCTGCTCCACAGCAGACAGTAGATACCTCAGGAAGGAGGCTGAAATCTTTGCGCAGAATCTCATCGTAGGAACGGTGGAAGAATTCCAAGAGGCTGACCGCTGTGAAGTGGAAGGCGTAACTCGTGGCCAGCTGAGGAAGGAGTTTCTGCTGCTGTGTCTGGTAGTCCAGAATTTTTGCCTCTGGGCCACTGGGGGGGAGAAGAAGCCAAAGATTTGGATGATACCTACATGCCATGTCCACCTCCTTCAACACCACATCCCCAACACCATGTAAGCCTTAAAAACAGTTCTTCATATTCATTGCAAAACTAACACCAGACTATCACTAATCTTCTAGTCTCATCTAACATGAACATTCACATATTTCCCTATAGATAATATTGACACTCTTGCTTGTAGGGTCTGCCTCTTGTGGAGTGAGGGTCACACAATTCTTGCATGCACACGGACCATCTCATCCTAAAATGTGAAAAGTTCTGAACTCTGACATATCTGATCCCAGGGGTTGGGTGAAGGATTGTGGCCCTGCACCGCTGATGATTTGAACCTGTGATCTTTCACTGCCCATGTGCACTTGCTGTGTGCTAGGAAATGCGTTGAACCTAAATAACAGCTCTTTGGATGTGAACCTGGGCCCACTGAAACCCAAGGAGTGGCCTGGGGCTGCCTTGTCCATTGCTATGTCCTCAGTGCACAGGACACAAAGCTGAGAGAAACCTGAGGCCTCTCAGGGGAGTAGCTCCTCACCCAACAAGAAGTTCTTATCATCCTTGGGACATCTCTACAACTCAGGTACATGGGCTGCAGGCAGGACAAGCAGTGTGCTGTCTTCTAGTGCAGATACCCTCAGCCTGGGATTCTGGTGCCCAGGCCACCGAGGGTGCTGTGGGTTTGCCAGAAGACCCTGGGTCAAGGCCCACCATGCTTTCCTGCATGTTACCCACGACACCATCCCAAAACATGACTCCTGTCCACCTGGCATACAATCCTCAGTCCATTTTGAGTCAGACTATCCTGGAGCCCATAGCATAAAAAAACACTAGACCCAAAGGCTGAGAGTCCTCAAATTCCAGTCCTGGAGATTTCACTCTTTTTATGCTTTTTTTTTTTTGAGATGAGGTCTCACTATGTTGCCAGACTAGTCTCAAGTTACCCTCTAGGCACCCACCAATATGCCTGGCTAGTGATCTGACTCTTTTTTTTTTTTTTGAGGGGGAGGACTAAAGATTGAACCAAGCAGTGCTTAACCACTGCACCACATCCCCAGCCATTTTTATATTTTATTTAGAGAGGATCTCACTAAGGATGGCTTTGAACTTGTAATCCTCCTGCCTCAGCCTCCTGAGCTGCTGGGATTACAGGCATGCACCACTGTGCCTAGCTGTGATCTTATTCTTGATAGGTAGAAAAGAGACCTAGAGGGCTGGGGATGTGGCTCAAGCGGTAGCGCGCTCGCCTGGCATGCGTGAGGCCTGGGTTCGATCCTCAGCACCACATACAAACAAAGATGTTGTGTCTGCCGAAAACTAAAAAATAAATATTAAAAAATTCTCTCTCTCTCTCCCTTCAAAAAAAAAAGAGAAAAGAGACCTAGAGAGGGTCAAGGATTTGCCCAGGGTCAGTCAGCAGAGCTGGGAGGAACATTGTTTCTTGAGTACCATGGATTTGGTTTTGCTGTAACCAACTCTACTCCCTATTCCTCTTCTCACTCAATTTTGCCACATCCTGGGCGTGTGTGCCTCTATTTGGGACAAATTTATCTTAAAAAGAATCATTTGCTGTTTACCTAAAATTCAAATGTGTGTCCTGTATCTCAAGACAGTGTGTGTCTGGGTGCACGCATGTACGTGTGAGCAAATGCACATGTACCTGCACACAGGTTAAAGCAGTATGGAGTAGACTTTGGCATTCTGTGCCCCGGAGTATTGGGAATAGTAGCCAGACACAACCAGGCATAATGAAAGGTATTCAGACCTAGACATACCACAGTCAGATGCTGACAGTCACAGCCAGACAGAACACGTTCATCCACACAGTCTGAAAAGACAGTTGGGCTTTGCTAGAGAGAACGGCCAGCCACAGTGAGATGCAACCTGGTAACTGGCCGACCCAGACTCACTAGCCAGTCACAGGTTTGTAGGACACAATGGGATCTGGACAGACACAGACTGACATCAGATGCTGATAGATAGAAACTGGGCCAGAGAGACCCTGTCAACATGGCCAGACTTGTATGTGTGTATGGGGGGGGGGGGGGGGGGGGGGGAGGTCTGCTCCAGCATCCCAGCTCTGGCAGAGAGATACTGCTGGGGAGCAGGCACTGTGGGACTGAGTGTCAGCCCTGTCTACCGCAGTCAGTCTCTGGGCTCCCTCTCCTTGCCTGGGCCGGAGCCGGGATTGGCGGCGGACGACTGAGTAGCGCACAGCGATGACACAAGCCTTCTGCAGTAAGGGTAGGATGGTAGTCAACAGCAAGCGCACTCGCGTCACCACCATGCCAAGATAGTTGCTCTGTGCCGTCCCAAACTTGACGTAGGTGCCATCTGGCAAGACCTGCGTGAAACAAGGATAGACATTGGGCCATAATGAAGGCACTCCAGCCAGCTGACTCCCACGATCATGGGCCTCCACCCCGCTTGGGTACCATGGCGCTCTTGCCCATCTGGAGACGACTGCTGGTGTGGCCACAACAATCAGTAAGATACAGAAATGGGGGCAGGGGTTGTGGCTCAGGGTATTGCGCTCACCTTGCGTGTGCGAGGCCCTGGGTTCGATCCTCAGCACCACATAAAAATAAATAAATAAAACAAAGGCATCATGTCCAACTACAACTAAAAAATAAATATTTAAAAAAAAAAAGATGCAGAAATGTAGCCGGGCACAGTGATGCACACATGTAATCTCACCAGCCTGGGAGGCTGACGCAGGAGGATTGCAAGTTCAAAGCCAGCCTCAGCAAAAGCAAGGTGCTAAACAATTCAGTGAGATTCTGTCTCCAAGTAAAATACAAAAAAGGGCTGGGGATGAGGCTCAGAGGTCGAGTGCCCCTGAGTTCAAACCCTGGTAGCCCTTCCCCCCCAACACAAAATACAGAATGTTTCCCTGCTTGTTGCTAACTAGCCACCTCCCCAGGTGCCCTGTTTACATTCCCTCTGTGGGAACACCCCAGGCTTTCCTTTGATCCACAACTAACAGGGCACAGCCTGGCAAAATGAGAACCTCCAGGTCTCTGCAGCACTCGGGTTAGCGTGTGTTCAGTGGCTGCTGTGTCCAGGCCTCACCGTGGGAAAATGTTAGCACATGACTCTCAGCCCCCTTTCTTCTTTCCCTGGGGTTGCTTGGCCATCCAAGGTGGAGAGTCATGTGAAGTCTGGGGTTCATCGAGGCAAAGCAACTTGCTCAAGATCACACCGTCTCTAAGCTGGGGCTTTCCTCCAGTCAGTGGGACCGAGTCCTTCTCCCTAAAACTGCTCAGGCCAGAGTCTCTCTGGGGAATTGTGGCCTAAGCAGTTTTAGGGAGAAGGACCCAGACCCAGTGTCAGCCTGTGCAAGATGCAGGTCCCCTGCCCAAGCAGTAATAGCTTCCCTGGCCTCCAACCTGTGCAAAGCGACTCAGCATGTTCTCCCTGGGGACCCGCACGTGGTCTAGAAGCAGGAAGCCATTGTCTACATTTTCCAAGTCCATCTTGGGCCCAATATCCCCAACAGTGATTCCTAGAGGGGGATGGAGAGGAGAAGGACTGTCATTTGAATGACACATTTGCTGTGCCAGGTACCACATACCCATTTCAGCTCACAGCAGCCTGTGACACTGGGGTTATTGCTGAGGTCAGACAGATGCTGACTCTTGCTCAGGGTTACCCAGCCAGTCAATACCAGGACGTTCAACAGAACCCCTCCTGGACCTGGGACAGCAGTCCCAACTTCTCCCATAGATTCCTTGGGCCCTGAGGACAAGGGAAGCTTGGTGGGACCTTCTCTTGGAAGGGGTCCCTGAGGGAACAGCATGGGCTTACCTGGCAGTGGGGTGTGGTCCTGGAGGCTCCGGATGGGCACGATAAAAGCGTGCATTCCCTGCCTGGCTCCCGAACAGATCAGCTGGGCCAAGACCAGGGCATGGGTGGCCGACCGGCCCACTGAGGGCAGAAAGATAAGAGGCACATCGTGGGGAGACCTGTGTATTGTTGTCCCCCAGCTTAGGCTCCTGGGGTTGGGGTTGCTCAAGGACATCTCTGAGGCCTCCAAAAGTTATTGATGATAGAGGAGATTTGTCCCCAGAGAGCCAAACAAAACTAGCAGTGACTTGACAAAGGAACTGAAAAGAGTGAGCTCTCGAAAGTTCTGCTGTCCCCCCAAAACAAAAGCAAAAGCAAAAAACTATTAATGGATCACTCTGTCATCAACCTCATAATAATGAATACAGATATTTATCAAAATCCAGGTGTCATCTGACCCTATACTGATGTTTTCTAGTTCTTACAGGGCAGGTATCATGAGTCTCATTTTCCAAGATAAGGAAAAGGAGACTCGGAGAGCAGAGTGACATGCCGGAGGTCACTAGCCTGGTGGGGGGCAGAGCTGGGATTGGAACCCTGGTCTGCTTGATTTTTTTTTTTTTTTAAAGGATAAAGGACGGAGTTCCTTTTCTTAAAAAATTTGTTTAATTGTATCTTTGTTTTTAAATTAATTAATTAATTAATTAATTTTTATTTTATTATTTTTATGTGGTGCTGAGGATTGAACCCAGTGCCTCACAAGTACTCAACCACTGAGCTACAAACCTAGCCCTCCTTTTTTTTTTTTAGTACCGGGGGTTGAACTCAGAGGCACTTAACCCCTGAGCCACATTGCCAGCTTCATTTTGTATTTTATTTAGAGACAGGGTCTCACTGAGTTGCTTAATGCCTCACTTTTGCTGAGGCTGGCTTTGAACTCGTGATCCTCCTGCCTCAGCCTCCCGAGCCACTGGGATTATAGGCGGGCCCCACCACGCCCAGCGGTCTGCCTGATTTCAAAGGCGTTTTTCTCTCTGTGGTTTTGGTCTTGTTCATTCTCTTACTCTGTCTCCCTTCTTCTGATTTTCTCTCTCACCTCTACTTTTCTGCTTTAGTTGAACTCCAGGCATTTGTTTTATTTATTTTCCACACGAGGCCTGGGTCCCCAAATGCTGCAGATCCGTCCGCAGAGCTGAATTCTCAAACCCAAGGGAGGAGGCCTTGGTGGGCATGGCACCCACCTGGTGGCCATCTGATTAGAGTTGATGGTGGCACGGGATTTTCTGGGTGTCTGAGGCAGGGGCAGGGAGGTGTTTTTTCTACTCACTGTCGTCACAGGGCCTCTGCCCTGGCTGGAGACAAGCTTAATCATCGACTCAGGACAACTGGGACTAGGCCAAGTGTGCACATGTGTCATGTGCATGCACACACACGGGGGCTGGGAGGCAGTGTGTGCGTGTGTGGCCTTGTCTCTTATCCTCGTCAAAGCCCCCCTCCCAGGAACCTGCCAGCTGTTCACTAATGAAAGTCTTAGCAGCCCTGCTATTTCCAGGCAACTGGCGTAGGAGAGGAAATCAGCCTGCAGCCTCTTGGACAACAAATCCAGTGCTGCTCTGCCCTCTGATGTTGTCTTCCTTGGGCAGGGACAGAGCAAGAGAGGACGGATACTCACTGTCCCCAGGCCACCACTTGGCGGCAGTCATGGTGGGGCTGTGTATCACAAACTCCTGGGTGGCTGCATCATAGGTGGCTTCAGTCTCCAGGCCTTGAAGATATGACCCTGGCATCCAAGGAGGAGAGTAAGACATTCAGCCAAGGCAGGGTTCTTAACTGGGGAGCAGCTTCCGGGTGGGACTGGACTCTGAGCTACCAGCCAGTATGTAGTAGGGCCAGCTCCCCTCTGTACTTGGCAGGTATTTCTCCCCTTTGATCTATGGGTTTTGTGGGGATGCACAGAGTGGGGTGCTGATACTTCTAGAAGGAATGACTTATCCAGCTGGTAGTTCATACAGTACAGTTGTGAAAATTAGAAAAAGCCACCCCTTCCTTAAGACCCTTGACTGCCATCTGCTGGAGAGTTTTCAAATCAGATATGCAATCTATGAGATGCAATGGGCCCTCTGGGGTTGTACAGTGCACGACCCCAACACTATATGCAGCACCCTTGGCTCACCGTGTCCCAGCTCTGTCTGGGCATACGTTGTGATGATCTGGAAGTTTTCACAGAGTGGTATCCATTTAGCAATCTGTTCCTCTGAGCCAAGGCTCCTGAGCGCATTCATGAAGACACCATTTAAAGTTAAGGCCACATCTCCAGAAAGGGCCCTGTGGAGGAGAGATGCCATGATTCAGTAGCCTATTGAAGACAGGGGTTGTACCCTCAGCTAGGGTGCAAGAGGGAAGGGACACCTGCAATCCTGGTTTCCAAGTAAGTAATGGTTTTGTTGGGGAAAATGGCTCATGGGACTGGGAGGTTTATAAGTGATCCCAGGTAGATTCCTCTCTGGCAGGGCCACACCAGGCCTAAGTACCTGAAAGCATAGGCCAATTCGCAACCATCTGCCGGCCAGCCCAGGCGCTGTGCTATCATCTGTATGTGGTATCTCTTCCGCAGGGCGGTCTCATAATGCTCATTCTGGGTCATGAAATGATTGTTCTTAAGGCTAAACACTGGGTCATTGTGGATGATGCTTTCTGCAAGAGGTGGAGAAAAGAGGGCATAGGCACTTGGGTGAGGTTTCTGGCATCAGATCTTCCCACACACTTGCCTCATGGATCTGCAAAGGAAGTCACTCATTATTTTACAGATGAGAAAACAGAGGCCCAGAGGTGAGAAATGTGATCTGTCCAAGGTTACAAAAGCAAGGCAGTGGCAGAATTAGGACCAGCATTCAGGTGTCCTACTGCCTGGGACCCTTCTGTCACTCAGATGGGCTCGGGGAATATTGGCATGTTAGTAGTGCCTTCATAGTCCAAAGGAATGACTCTGACAATGGTGTTTCAAGGGCAAATTTGCCCTTTTTTTGGTGGGGGCGGGGTACAGGGGATTGAATCCACGTGCACATCCCCAGCCCTTTTTGTATTTTATTTTAAGTCAGGGCCTCACTGAGTTGCTTAGGGCCTTGATAAATTGCTAAGATGGCTTTGAACTTACGATCCTCCTGCCTCAGCCCCTGAGCTGCTGGGATTACAGGTGTGCACCACCAGACCCAGCTGCAAATGTGCTATTTGAAGATGGGACTGTGACTACTCTCCCATCATCTAAGGAAAGCACATAGACATAAATACAATGCATTAATAAAAAAATAAAGAGAGAAATTCTGATATATCAGAAAGAAAGAAAGAGAAAGAGAGAAAAGAAAAGCAGGATACTCTGTGTCTCAGCCTCCTCTTACCGACTTTCCTCCGGATCGCAGTGTTCTGGGCACCTCTGTCAAGGATGTTGGTGAGTCGTTCCACGTTGAAGGACGGCACACGCCTCTCACTTTTTATGTCAGGGTGCTCTTGCCTGCTCCACTTGTCTCCCAAGGACACGCGGTGCACCGGGCTACCCATCCTACTCTGCTGTTCAAGGAGAGACACTTCCAGCCCAGCTGCTCTGAAGATCTCTTCAGGACACGGGGGAGGGGGGTGGTGTCCAGGAACCTGTGTGCACAAGGAATCACCTGAGGCTGGGTGTCAGCAGGTCCCGGACCTGGCTCCCCTCTGAGCTTTGGACAGGATTGCACTACAAAGCTCACGCTCCAGCCTCTGTGGCTTGGGTAATGAGCACCATCTTCATAAAGAGCTGGAGACAGTCACTCAAACAAAATGATCTTAGGTTAGGTGAATGACCCCTAGTGACACCGCTGGAGTTGGCCAGAACTGGACGGGATCTGACCACAAAGCACATGCATTGTCCATACGGTGCCCCACCCTAGGGACTCACTGTGGGACTCAACCCCATTTCTTGAGCTCTGAAGGATACTGTGATACTGAGGGGAGGAACCTTGCCCTCCGCCTGGGAAGTGGCCCCCTGGGACCCCAGCACGTCTCCCATACCCAGGGTGGGTCCTGCCTCCTCCATGCCAAACCCTTGGACTCTTAGAAACTCCCATTCCCTACAGTGAGGCAACCACCAGGTACAATCCATCCTACTTCCCAAGTCACTTGAATCTAACTGCTCCTTGCCAGCTTGTTGGCTACCACCTAGCCACCATCACTTCTTACCTGCTTCTGTGTCTCTTTTGTCTGTTTTTATTTTTTGGTACCTGGGACTAAACCTAGGGGCACTTAAACACTGAGCCACATCCCCAGCCCATTTTAATATTTTATTTAGAGACAGGGTCTCACTGAATTGCTTAAGGCCTTGCTAAGTTGCTGAGGCTTGTTTTGAACTTGCCATCCTCCTGCCTCAGCCTCCCAAGTCCCTGGGATCACCTGCGTGCGCCACCACACCTGGCCCAGGTAAGCTCTTAAGTGAAAGTCACCTTGTGTTTCTCCCTGCTTGGAATTGGCTCCTCGGTGTCCACCATTTTTGGAATGGAGTTACTGCCATGTCCCTCTCCTGCATTAAGCTACTTCCCCATCCTGGGCCCCTCTCACTTCCTCCTGCCCTTTGCCCCTGATGGCCCAAGGCTTAGCTCCCTGGTGTTCTTGGTGAGTCCCAGCTTTCAGGACCCCAGCTCTAGGAAGCCCTCCTGCAGGCAGCACCCCTGGGAGAACTGGATCCCCACTAGCAGTTATTGGTACTGGGGACAAGTTCCCGTTTACTCACATATCCCATCCCCAAGGCAGGGAGAGGTGCTTTGGGTCCCCAGAGCCTGGCTCACAGGAGGCAGGCTGTAAGCCTTTCCTTCGGACGACCACACCTTTGCATTCCTCTATCCCTCACCTCCACCCTGGGATGTGCTGCAGTTATTACCATTTTGTAGAGAAGGCAAGGGCTTGGAAAGAAGCCACTTGGTCAGCTCACAGCCACAGGTAGCAAGTGGGATTCTTTTTTTTTTTTTTTTTTTAAGTTTTTTGGTATTGGGGATTGAACCCAGGGGCACTTTACCACTGAGCTACATCTGCAGTCATATATATATATATATATATATATATATATATATATATATATATTTAGAGACAGGATCTCACTGAGACTGACTTTGAACTTGTGATCCTCCTGCCTCAGCCTCCCGAGTTGCTGGGATTACAGGTGTGCATTTCTGCACCTGGCAAAATGCACTATTATTATTTAGCAGGGCTGGGGATGGAACACAGGGCTTGGTGCACATTCTACCGCTGAGTTACATCCCCAGCCCAGCAAGTGGGATTCTTATGTGAGGCCCCTGGAGCAGGGCTGTGGGTGCTGAGAAGAAGCCGAGCGTCTCCATCAGCTGCCTCCGGGATTCCTGGGAAGCCACTTAGCCCAACTCCTCTCTCTGCCCCTTGCTCCCTCATTCCAAATTCCCCTGCCTCCTGGCTGTCCCCAACCTCCCAAGAATCTCCCTCCCACAGCCTTTGCCAGGGCTATGCCTGTGACCAGAACACCCTGTCCTCATATATCACCACGGCTCCCTCCATCTCATCTTCATGTCACCTCTCAGGGAGGCCCGCCTGACTACTTTAACATCCCAAGTCCCCTGGCATGTGATCCTGTCCCCGCTCTGCTTTGTGTATTTTCTGTTTACATACACGCAAGGTCATTAACTGCTCTGTTCCCAGTTGTTTTTGTTTATTGCTGTCTGTAGCCACCCTGCCCCCACTAAAATGCCAACTGTAAGTGGGCAGGGACCTTTGCCAAGCGCCTGCTCTAACAGGGCAGAGCCTGCCGGAAAGAATGTCTGCTGAATAGCTGTGAAAGAAAGAAGGCACTGCTCACAGCCACTAGGAGCTGCCCAGGCTCAGTCCTGGGGTGTCATGTCCTCAGGATCTCCCAGTTCTTCCCTGCCCTGCCCTGGCTCCCTGACTCACCTCTGTCCTGTGCCCACACTTTAGGTCTGGGCTGGCCTCTTTCTGGTGCAGATCTGAGCCTTCCAAAGATAAAGGTGAGTGGCTAAGCCCTTTTCTCCTCCCCCTGAGGGGTTGGGTGCCTAAAGGGCTCTCCCACGTGCTCCCATACTTCTGAGTCCCCGCCCCTAAGCCACTGAGTGGGTGTGACATGCATATACGCTGGGTGCCAGGCACTGGGGCTGCCTGGGTGCTTGTAGCTCCCACACATATCACACATACATGGTGTAACTTCCCATTCTTGTGGTTGTACCTGAGGTGGAGTTTCACTGATTCTGTGTTCATATATGAACATAGGAAAGTTCTGTCCTGTTCAAAGCTGGGGATTGCTTTGAAAGTACTTGTACTTGTGTCCCCCAGCTGTGCTTCCAGAGTGACACCCCTGATCTGTCCTTATGGCGTCCTCTATCTTGCCATCAGGAACTCAAGCCGATCACATCACAGGGGCTTAACGGGCTCCCTGCAGGTGATCCTGCTTGCTCTGTGAGAGGACTGTTTTTGTCCCCTCTCCCCTGTCTGCTGTAAAATTTGGCCTGTTTTATGGTTAGCATTAGTATTCACGTGCCCTCTCCAGGTTTCCTGGATAGATGTTTGTGGAATGCTCCAGAGCTACAGGAGTGGGGTGGGATACTCCGAAGGCGCCTCAGTTCCCCTCTTAAAACCCCAGAAGGAACTCATAATAATCGGGGTGTGGGGGGGCAGTGGGCGGGGGCGGTAGAAGTTCACTGGATGAGACAAAGAGGAATGAAGGGAAGGGAGGGGGATGGGAATGGGAAAGTCAGTGGAATGAACAGGACAGAACTTTCCTATGTTCATATATGAACACAGAATCAGTGAAACTCCACCTCAGGTACAACCACAAGAATGGGAAGTTACACCATGTATGTGTGATATGTCAAAATACATTCTTCTGTCCTATATAATTAAAAAGAACAACAAAATTTGATAAATTTGGCTACATTAAAGATTTAAACCAGTGTATGACAAAGAATGTGTTCAATAAAGGTAAAAAAATGCACCACAGACTGAGAAGAAATACTACAGTGCATCTAATTGACAAAAGATTACTATGCGAAAATATGTTAAGAACTCCCAAAGCCAAAGAAAAACAAAAACCCAATAGAAAAAAGTGGCAAGAGATGTTATTTAACAGTTCTGGAAAGAGGAAACCTAATGGCTAACACAAACGTGAAAAGATAAATAAACTACAATATCAATTAGGAAATGCAAATTCAAGTCAGATCCCCACCCATCAGCAAAAAAAAAAAAAAAAAATTAAGCTTTGATAATCCTGAGTATGAGTGAGGAGCAGAAGAGGTATAATTTTCATACACTTCTCATGGAATGTTAAATTGGTACAAGTCCTTGGAGAAGAATGTGGCACTATCTGGTAAATGCAAAAATGTTGGGCCTTGAACTTCAGCAATTCTGCTTGTGCTTATTTACGGGCCCTAGAATGCAAAACTAAGATAATCTCTAACATACACCAAGAAATAGAAACGCTTGAATATGCTGGATATTGCCAGATTTTCCACCAAAACCAAAGTACTACTATACTACCAAAAACATTTGAGTTTCCCAGTTTCCCCATGACCTTTTATGACCATCCACAATGGATAGAAAACAAATCCATTTTTATTTCAATCATATTTATTTAAGTTATGAGTGAGGGTGTACATCTTTTCAAACTTTTGTCATCTGACAACTTTTATTGGACATTTGTACTCCTTTATTCTGGAAAGGGCCTATTTATACCCTTTGCCCTATTTTCTGTTTTGTTCTTTGTTGAGGTTTGGATATAAGATGTGCCCCCAAAAGCTCTTGTGTTAATGCACAAATGTTTGGAGGTAAAGTTCTGAGATTGTGAGAGCTGTAACCTAATCGGTCTATCCTAGTGTGAATGGACAGACTGGATGGTAACTGTAGGCAGGTGGGACAAGGCTGGATGAGGTGGGTCAAGAGGACATGCCCTGGAGGGATGCATCTTCCCTGTAGCCCTTTCCCCCTCCCTTTCTCTGCTTCCTGACCCCACATCAGGTGAGCAGCTTTCCTTTGCTGGGACCTTCCGCCATGATGTTTGCCTCACCTTGGGCCCAGAGCAATGGACCTGGCCATTTATGGACTGAGACCTGTGAAATCAGGAGCCAAAATAATTTTTTCCTTCTCTAAAATAAATAAATAGATAGATGATAGATAGATAGATAGATAGATAGATAAATCCATCCTGGAAGGTAGCCAGCAGCTCCCCATTTTGCTGATAAAGAACCAACCTCAGACATGATATTGTCTGCCCCAGGTTGGACAATAGCTAGATTCCTGATAGAGCTGGAATTTGAACCAGGTCTCTGAGGAAAAGGATTAATTATTGACCCATTAGTACAAAAGTGGGAAAGAAAGAGAGTGGGACTCTTGTCCTGGCAGGACATAGGACATTTGGCACTCTGGGCAGGTTTCTTCCCCTCCTGGGCCTGGGCCTCTCTTGTGTGTGATATGGGGGTGTCTGTGCACTTAGGGGCTCACAGTTCTCCACTATATTCCCAAGGTGGCATCTAGCTTGGCAGGCCGGAGGAGGCAGACCC